TAGCCAAACTAGAAAAACTGAGTTGACTTGTACAATGTTTCTAATTTGGTTGTTTTGTGAAATTCACTTTGTATTCCCAGAAATTCCCACTTTAGTGAATAACCCTTAACAGCAATTCTTACTATAGTAGACCCTGTTACTGTTAGACACAAATTGTAGTATATGCTAATGCAGTGTACCTATAATCTTAATTTTAGTAATGACAGGAAGCGAGTATGTTGCATTAACCTTGTGTAAGATGAGTTTCATCCTGGAAAGAACAGAGATAAGTGAAAGGCAAGAGCCATGGTGTCATGTCAACATAAACAACCATAATAATCGACTTATTCCTCCTAAGACATTTAGTAGCATTTAAACAAATGTCTAACTATGGTAAGAATCATCCCTAAGAACACCATATAACATAGTACAATCCCAATAACCCTTGCCAAAATAAGATACATGAGTGTGTGGGACAGAATAAGAAAAGAATAGGGAGGGAAAACATTTGCCTCCTGTCATTACTAAAATTAAGATTATAGGTACACTATGTTAGCAAAATCTACAATTTTACCACATGACAGGAGGCTTCCTATTTTGCATTTTTAAATTCTTTATTTTTCTTGTGCATATGAAAAAATATACAGTTAGTCTTGCAGCGCCATAACAGCAACTGCAGGCTCGTCTTGAACAATAAATTGTTATGGCATGAGATTGGCTAGCACATTTGTATAGTATATTATCATGGGAAACAAACGATTGCAAACTGTTCTATAACGTGTAAGTTAAGCATTAGTATAAGCATTTGTGGATTTCGTATAGGAGCTGTAGGCTGATGCATGTATCAGTAGTTTAACTTTTCAGGAGAGCATCAACGACATTTACAGTGATCTCACACTGTATATAGGCTTGGTCAATTGTGTCATTTGAGCATCAACAACATTAATAGTAAATCCAGCATGCAAACAGTTTTGCTATTTTGCATTTTTTAACACTAAGGAATAAGAGCAAAAGTAGCATGAGAGCAAGGGCGACATATGTGGTTGGACATGTGATATGAGAAATTGGCCCTTGGAGGAGCAACGAAGCGGCGCAGTAATCTCTATGTAACGTAATAACGTCTTAACCACGCAGAGTTGAGGATTCCGAAGGAAAAACGGATAAAAAAAACGTCGTAGAATCAGTCTTAGTGCGACGGAAAACCGAAAATACGACCCCTACTGGAGTGACCGAGACCCGTCCACATCAAAAGCTCGAACGTCAGATACCTGCCGAAAGGACACTATACAGAGCAAAAGCGTCAGTTTCGCAGAGAGTTGTCGTAACAATAACAACAAATTGTCCGGCCAGCCACGAAAGAAATGTAGAACGATGTCGACGTCCCAAAGGCGTGCATATTTCGGAGCTGGAGGACATGATAATTTAATACCGCGGAGTAGTCTACAAACCAGTGGATCTTGACCAACCAGTAGGTCCTGAATCGGAATGTGGGCCGCCGAGATGGCCGAACGTGAAACATTGATGGAGCAATAGGCTAGTCCAGGTGAAAACAGATGAGACAAAAAGTTCAACACTATGGGAATAGGTGCCATAAATGGATCGGAGTCTCTTTCCAAACACCAGCCAGTCCATTTGTTCCAGGCGGTAATGTAGCTGCACCTAGTGCTAGGTGCCCACAAGTCCCAAAGCAGGTTCCTAGTGACCTGTGATAGGCCATCAACCCACCAGGATCCCCTGAAATCATCCAAGCCATGGGTTCCAGACACTCTTGGAGGATGAGGGGGTGAGGCGATCCCTGAGTGTCGGTCAGGAGGTGAGGGAACGAAGGGATGAGGAGAGGATCTTCGGACGAGCCAAGCAGTTGATGTGTAGGTTGGTCTCCTTACCCAACCAAGGTCCTCCCGTGGAAGAGTATGCACAGTGTTCTCCCCAGCCACAGAATCTGGCATCCGATTCCACCACGAAATCTGGTGATGGGCCAAAAATGGCCTTCCCGTTCCAAGCCTGCATAAGTTGGAGCCACCAACGGAGTTCTGTCCGTACTTCGGCGTCCAGTGGAACCTTCTGGTCGTACGAGAAACCAGAACGTAAATAGCGTGTGTGACAAACTCCCCTTTTGCTGTGAGTTTGCCACACGTTTTTGGAGGGGCCTATTTGCCAGCCCTCTACCCTGTGACTACAACCCTTACAATAGACCTGGCTAAAATACTTTAAACAGGTTCTGCTCATGCAATTGGGACTATATGGTTAGTTTACCGAACAGCCGCATGAACCAGACACCACCCTGGAGCTTGTTAAGCTTAATTGATACATTGTTGCAATTTGCCCCTATGTGGTCTATGTGTTCGTCTGTGTGGCTGCAATTCCTATGGCCGACCACGAGGTGGCGGCCATTTTGTTTGCATGGACCAAAACTGCGAATGGACTTCAGGGGGACTTGGCCGCGAATGCCCTGGAACTATTTTCGGCATGAAAACTTTGCGGTTCTCGGTCGGTCCTCCAGCGGCACTTAGCCCCGATTCTATGGAACTATTTTGGCCTGTGGGACCATGCCTGCGGTCGGTAAAAACTATGACTTTCATAAAATTTCTGAACCCCTGAACTGATCTGGGTGATTTTTGGATATATTGGTCACCCAGGTCAGGGCTATTAGGGGGTATAACATTTGTGGGGTTTTCTATATTTTTAGGGTACTTTTGGAGTGTTTTAAAAAAGTATGTTTTTTCTGTGCTTGGAGATAATTGGATTAGAATTAGTACAGTTACTGACCCAATTATCTCCCAAGTGTCGGGCATTTAATCACTGTTCTTATTGGTCTGTGTCTTTCTGTAGGAGTCCCCAACAAGGTCCATGTGGGCGTACCCCTTGCATGGGGATTGTCATAAAAGGTCAAGTGTGGCTCCCATTAAATTGAGATTCGTTTACCTCTTCATGAAGTCTTGGCTCATGTTTGAGGGATTGGAGAACTACATTCACTCTGGGGACTGCTATATCACAATACTCCCCTGAGTATAATCACCAACTCCCATGGGCCCAAGCAGTTTGGAAGTTGCGAGTGCTCCTATCACCCAGTCAAAACTCTCCCCCTCACAGAAGACGACAGATAGTCACAAGTGCGTTGCAATCGTGGTAAAGCTGTCGATCGTGCAATGCGAAAGTGAGGCTGAGAGACAGGAACCCTGTGATAGTACAGGGACTTGCCCCAAGTAGGGGGGGACAGAAACACTGGTGAGGAGAAAAGGGGCAATAATGAATTAGCTAGAAAAGGTCAGAAAAGCATAAGGAAAATTGACAGGTATAATGTGAAACACCAAAACAAGAAATAAATAAATGCTATAAAGTCTAAGAGCAGGAGTGAGTACTCTGACCTGTATCCTGCTGGAGCAGCAAAGAAAGAGGAAGTGTGTGGGTGGACCTAGACTTATATATTCGATGTTTCTTCTTTCTGATTGGTTAATATTTTATATTGAGATTTGCTGCTGGAGTAAAAAGTAAAGAAAGTTAATGCAGAATAGGAAGCCTCCTGTTATGTGGTAAAATTAGTTGCTGGATGTTAAGAAATAGTGTTTCCCGGATGTTAAGAAATAATGTATGCTGGATGTTAAGAAATAGTGCATGCTGGATGTTAAGAAATAGTGCATGCTGGATGTTAAGAAATAGTGCATGCTGGATGTTAAGAAATAATGCATGCTGGATGTTAAGAAATAATGCATGCTGGATGTTAAGAAATAGTGCATGCTGGTTGTTACGAAATAGTGCTTGCCGGATGTTAAGAAATAGTGCATGCTGGATGTTAAGAAATAGTGCATGCTGGATGTTAAGAAATAGTGCTTGTCGGATGTTAAGAAATAATGCATGCTGGATGTTAAGAAATAATGCTTGCAGGATATTATAAAAATAGTGCATGCTGGATGTTAAGAAATAATGCTTGCTGGATGTTAAGAAATAGTGCCTGCTGGATGTTACAAAATAGTGCATGCTGGATGTTAAGAAATAATGCTTGCTGGCTGTTAAGAAATAGTGCATGCTGGATGTTAAGAAATAGTGTATGATGGATGTTAAGAAATAATGCTTGCTGGATGTTAAGAAATAGTGCATGCTGGATGTTAAGAAATAATGCTTGCTGGATGTTAAGAAATAGTGCATACTGGATGTTAAGAAATAGTGCCTGCTGGATGTTACAAAATAGTGCATAGTCTTTTTCTACATACTGATGGGTTTGTTTACTAACCAGGACATTTTGGAGAACTGACAAAGTCCATAATAACCAAGCTAGAAAACTTTTAATTTAGAGAATATTTCCCATTCGGCCTAAAGCTTGCCCATTGGTACTGTAGTCACCAAGAAACCATAAACTTGCAGTCTGTTTGGCTTTTCCAGCCCCCCAAGCTGTCAGTTTGAGTGCAGCGCTATACCAGTATGTGAGGTAAAATTCCCTCAAAGAAGTGTATAAAACACTTACCCTCTATACAACACTTGTTTTAAGAGGTATACATAAAAGACAAAAAATAGATACAAATAATAGTGCAATATTGTATATTGTAGCAGAAAAATAGATTTGTGAGTTATGAGTAAAAAGAAACTCACATTTTTTAGAGCCTTTTCCAGATATAAGGCTCTAAACTTCCAGATTCCTGTGCCTTTATGGTAGACAACACAACCCCTTTTCTGCAGAAAGATAAATGTGTTCCTCTCCACGATATCAATAATAAACAAAGGTGCAGGGAAAACAGAATCTAGGTGCAGTACCTTTGGTGATTATTTTGAGTGATTTTTTTTACACAAAATTAGATAAGTGCTCACCTTCTCAAGAGCCTTTTAATAACTGGCTCTATGTATGTAGACTTGGTGTCAAGTTCTGGGGTGACACTCCCCTTACCAGAATCACAGTGCAGGATGCAGATGAAAATTAATGGTAAGTTGAGGGGCGTGGCCTGGACGCGGACGAAAATGGCAGCTTAGGCAGAGAGCTCCGTCCCACAAGCTCCAACAGCACGCTGTCAGCACAGCCCGGCACGGACATGGGACGCACAAAAAGAGTGGAGGGCTCCCAGACACCAAGGGGGAACCCCCCTAGCACCCCAGCTGGACCCATGGACGGGTTCCTAACGCCCGCAACAACCACACGCCAGGAGGCCGCAGACCCCAACATGGCCGACTCCCCGACCGGAACGTCACCTGAGAGCGGCGAAACCACGCTGGCAGACATCAGTGCCGAGATCAGGGCACTTGCTGCCAACGTGGTAACCAAGGATGACCTCCGCGGCCTATCTGAAACCCTGCATGCTGCAATACACACAGAGGTAACTGCACTGAGAGCAGACTTGGTGACACAGGGCAGCAGACTCCAGCAATTAGAAAACACCACACAAGCCCACACAGCTCAAGCAGAGGCCTCTAACTTAGCCATCACTAGACAGGGGAATATGCTATTAACCCTGAGGCGCCATACTGAAGATCTGGATAACAGAGGCCGCAGATCCAACATAAGGGTGCGCGGCATACCAGAATCCGCGGGGGACGAAGATGTGGAGGCTTTGCTGCGCGCACTATTCAGAGGTATCTTGGGGGCTGAGACGCCGGCCACGATAGAGTTCGACAGGGCGCATAGGGCCAACAGGCTGCGCACAATGGAGGGGACTCCACGAGACGTCATTTGCTGCATGCACCAATATAAGCTAAAAGAAAAGATCATGGCCAAAGCGAGATCCAGACCCACTTGGAGATTCCAAGACGCAGATGTGGCTCTATACCAAGATCTCTCGCCCCTGACGTTAGAGGCGCGCAGAGCACTGAGACCGATCACGACACAACTGCAGGAGAGGAGGATCACTTATAAGTGGGGCTATCCCTTCGCTCTCCTAGCCAGGCACCAAAATGAGTGGATACCCCTGCGATGGCCGGAGGAGGCACCCAGATTCTTACAGCGCTTGGGCCTGCCGCCCACAGAAATCTCCAACTGGATCCTGAACCAACCTGAACAGAGACCTGGCCCACAGACGCCGAGACAACAACGCCGACGCAGGGAAGAGACGCCGCGGCGTCCAGTAGCCCGCAGACAACTGGAGCCCGGTGACCCAGAAGAGTAAGATTGGCGAGGCCCCCCTCCCCTTTGCTCCTCCTCCGCCTCCCGGCCGGCCCTGGCGCGGAACTCACCTCCCGATGAAGAGCTAGCAAGACGGACCTGGAGGTCCTCTAAATACCAGAAGACGCCTGATACCAGATAAGTCTCCACTGCACGCACAAGTACACCTTGGCCCTTACACGCTTACCTAACTCATCAGCTCGCACGAGACATTAAGCAGAGACACACACTTGGCATGCAGCTCACAAACCTTACGCACCCACCTCTCTCTTTTTTCTTTGGGAGGGGGCACACAATGGGGGGAAGGCATTTCTAACAGAGGGCACCAAGACGTACCAGCACCAATACTATCTGGCAATTATGAGAACTGGGGACACCTTTGGCGCCATTGTGAGGATATCACCTCAAGGGGCAAGCGAAACAGGAGGATTGTCGGGGCGGGGGTGGGGGGGCTGGGGAATTTGGGGGGGGGACGCCGGACACTGCACAAATGAACCGTGCACTGGGAACTAATATATTTGCCTCCTCGACCCAGTTGGGCTATATGGAACAGGAGACCAGCCTGGAAAAATCCAGACAGTAATAAGACATGCAATACCTAATGCTGGTGGGCACGGGGGGTGGGGGACGGGGGGCAATGGGATGATTGTACTTTGAACAGCTTTTTTACTATGTACCGGAGGAGGGGACTCAATGGGGGCGGGGTGGATGGGAGGTGGAATAGAGGATGGAGGGGTGGAAAATGTCAAACGAATTAATGCTTTGTTTATGATGACTGCGACGACACCACGCACCTATGACCCACCAACCCAAGGTGACAGAGCACCAAAGATATGGAAAGGCCCAGACCATTGGAAAAATAGGCTGACAAAAAAAAAAAAAATAAAAAATAAAAAAAAAAACACCATCAATGGGAACCCCCATCTAACCACCGAGCTATCCTAACCCAGACAGATCTGACCTGCCTGGTCTGACATGGTAGAGGCCAGCCTGCGTCCCTGCCTGCCGCCCCCCCCTCCCCGGAGGCCCACGGTTGCGAATATTTCTCCAGGAGACAGCAGTTGTCACCTCGGCCCCAACCGGCCCACGACATTGGGAGGACCACGACTTCCCGAGCCAATCAGACACCCAGCCGTGACCATAGAGCAGACAAAACAAAAGAGACAGCGCACATGACTAGCATATACATAAGTGGGGAACGGACCTTGCTCCTGAGCTGACACTACATGACCACCCACAGACACCTGAGACCAAACAGGTACTCATCACACTGACCGCCTGACCGGTCCACCCCCAACAGGACCTGTGTTCTACCAAACTACTGGGGGAGACAGATCCGCGGCTGTCCTAGGAATCTAGAAGACGGTGCGGACCTGATACTCGATCCAGTCACACAGGTTACCCTCACTCCGAGGGACCTAGACGCCTTGGGGACCCCCGGCCCCGCCCGGACTTGGAAAATCTTCCCTTCCCTCCTTCCCTACCTAGCCACCACCCTCCCCCCCCCACGTATAGCGATTGACACACTCGAACCCCGGGTGCCCTGAAGACCCTACACCATGGCGTTCACAGATGCCCCCTTCCAAATCCTCACGCAGAACTGCAGAGGACTGAACGCCCCTGAGAAGCGCACGCACCTCCTACGGGAATTGAAAAAGCAACACGTGTCCGTAGCACTGTTGCAAGAAACACATCTGAGAGCGGCCGAAACACATCGATTGACGGACAGATGCTTCCCGGACAGCTTCCATAGCACCCACCCAACAGCACGCAAGGCGGGAGTGGCGATTCTCCTGGCCTCCAACCTTCACTTCCACCGAAGCGACGCGCTGGCCGATCCAAATGGCAGATACCTTTTCGTAAAGGGGACGATAGCCCAGAAGACGTACACGTTTGCTTCAATCTATGCCCCAAACGCCAAACAAGCAAAATTTCTCCGCAACACACTGCTCAAGCTCGCCAACTTCACGGAGGGTGCCCTCGTGGTAGGGGGGGACTTCAACACCCCACTGGAACCGATCCTAGACTCCTCAACGGGACACAGCAGCATCCCACAAACAGCAATTCGGACGGTCCGAAGGACCCTACACGAACTGCGATTGGTGGACGTATGGCGTACCCTACACCCAGGAGACCGAGATTACACGCATTACTCGGCCATGCACAATAGGCATGCTAGGATAGACTACCTTTTCATCCAACAAGAAGGACTGCAAAGACTACTGCAGGCAGACATCCGCCCCACTCCATGGTCGGACCATAGCGCAGTATACATGCGCATGGAATCACCCCTATACAGACCTACCCGGACCGTATGGCGCTTAAATGAACTACTCCTCTCCGACGAACCGACGCAGGCACAATTACTGGAACAACTAAATAACTACTTCACTGAAAACGACACCGAAGAAATCTCCGCACTTACTCTGTGGGAGGCCCACAAAAGCGTTCTCAGGGGACTACTTATCCGGATATCAGCGCAAAAAAAGAAAGAAGCACAACGACAAATGACGGCACTAGCGGAACAGATAGCAACGCTGGAAACGCTGCACAAGAGGACCCGACAGGAGGAGCATTACCGCACTCTTTTGACCCTCAGACGGCAACTATCGGACCTGATAGCCCGCAAACACCACAGGTCGATCCAGAGATCGAAGGCCTTCTTCTACATCCATGCCAACAAGGGAGGAAGGCTGCTAGCCCGCATGCTGCGGAACCAACAAACAAGCGCACAGGTAAGCGCGCTGCGAACAGCCAGGGGCACCACTACGCAATTCCCTGAAGAGATTGCAAATGAATTCCGCTCGTACTACGAAGACCTGTATAACATACCGCCCGAAATCCCGGACGCGGACGAGACCGGCACCGCAGGAGACATCGCACGCTACCTTAGAGACTTCAACCCTGAAACCCTATCCCAGCAGGAAGCAGACGCTCTAGACGCCCCGATATCTACAGACGAGATACTGGCAGTGATAAAAACCACAAAAAAAGGAAAGGCACCAGGCCCGGACGGGTTCTCGGCGGGCTACTATAAAAAGTTCAGAGACATCTTAGCCCCACGTATCGCCAACGCCTGCAATCATCTCCGGGATGGGGGTATATTTCACAGAGAATCCCTAGCAGCCATAATCACAGTGATTCCCAAACCCGGTAAGAGCCCGGAAATTTGCGGCAATTACCGACCCATATCGCTGCTAAATGTGGACGTGAAGATTTTCTCCAAAGTACTAGCTACGCGACTGCAACAATTCTTGCCAAGGCTAGTCCACCCAGACCAGACAGGGTTCATTCCGGGAAGAGAGGCCAGGGATAGCACACTGCGGGCCTTCACCATACAAAGCCTGGCGCGTAGGGGAACATCGGACTTCCTTATGCTCTCCACAGACGCAGAAAAGGCGTTCGACCGGGTACAGTGGAGCTTCATGTTGGCAGCGCTGAGGGCGATGGGTCTGGGGAACGGCATACTCACCTGGATAACGGCACTATACACCGACCCAACCGCCAGAGTACGGGTAAATGGAGCACTCACAGACAACTTTGACATCAACAACGGAACCAGACAGGGATGCCCGCTGTCCCCCCTCCTCTTCGCCCTCTCATTGGAGCCGTTTCTAGACAAGATCAGAAGGACACCAGAGATCCAGGGATTTCAACAGAAAGACCAGACACACAAGGTGGCCGCATACGCGGATGATATGCTTTTCTTCGTCGCGGAACCTCAGGGCACACTGCCGGCCCTCCTACGGGAGTTCAAGCAATACGGGCGGATATCAGGACTCAAGCTAAATCTAGCAAAATGCGAAATCCTGGCAATACACACCGAAAGGAACACGCAGGAGAGACTCCAACGCAAGTTCCCTTTTCACTGGTGCAAGGAACAGATGCGCTACCTGGGGATTTGGCTCTGCCGTGACTCGGGCGAGACATACGAAAGGAACTATACACCCCTCTTACGCACTATACTGACGGACCTGTCGAGATGGTCGTACGACCACATCTCTTGGCAAGGCCGAATAGCGGTGGTCAAAATGAATATCCTCCCCCGCCTCCTCTACTGCTTCAGCGCTATCCCCTGGCACCTGCCACAGGACTTCTTCACCAGGCTCAAAACAGCGGTGACGAGGTATGTATGGAAGGAAGGGAGACCACGGCTTAAGCATGAAAGACTATGTTTGCCAAAATCATGGGGAGGCCTGGCCCTGCCGGACTTTCGGAGATACTTCCACGCGACAGTACTGCAAAGAATTCGAGAATGGCACACGGCCCCCACCAACAAACTATGGACAAGGCTGGACAGGGAAAGCACAAACAGAGCACTCCACACATACATCTGGCATCGTCCGACAGGGGCTACACAAGCCCTGGGTGCGGAGTCCCCAGTGACGCAGACGCTGAAAACCTGGACCACCCTGCGAAGGGAAGCTCACATCTCGCCACAGCCAAGCCCCCTGATCCCCCTGACATATAACGTAACCATAGGAGGGGGACTACACGCAAACGCGTGGCCAACGCAAGGAGCAGAGGGATATGTACCCCTGAGTTCGGTCCTGACAAACGCCAGCCTGCGCAGCCTTCAAGATTGGGCGGACACAGATCGTCCGACAGTAATGCACCGTTTCCATTACGCACAACTGCGACACTTTTACCACAATATGCCCAATAGGGAAGCGGTACACAGAAAATGGACCTGGTTCGAACACCTCTGCCAGAGCTATCCAGAGGCAGATGGTAGAGTATCGGGCATATACCAGCAATTGCTCACAGGGGAACTTTCCAGAAACAACGCCTTCCAGAGGCAGTGGGAGGAATTGACAGACAGAACCTTCACAGACGCCCAATGGGCGCAAATTCTCATATTACAACACAAAAGCTCCATAAGCACCAGGTACCAAGAGGTGAACTACAAGCTGATCTCCCAGTGGTACAGAACACCAGCAAAACTACACAGGATATTCCCAGGGGTTCCAGATACTTGCTGGAGATGCGAAACGCAGCGAGGTACACTGCGCCACATTTGGTGGGACTGCCCTGGGATCAAGCCATTCTGGGAGGAGATACAGCGGGAAATCACTACAATTCTGGGTGATCCACCAGACTTTAGCATAGAGGCTGTGCTCCTACACTTCTTCACGGGACAGCTGGCACAATACAAACGCTCAATCCTACGACATCTGCTGAATGCGGCCAAAGCATTGATCCCAGCGAAATGGAAGCAAACCCAGCCACCTTCCAAAACGGAATGGCTGCAGAGAATAGAAGAGATCCACACAGCTGAGGCGAGATATGCTGAAATACTTGGAAGGAGGGACAAACACCTTGAACTGTGGACGCCATGGTACTTATACACGTCACAACAAGGATAGGGGATGGGTCACCACGGGGATCCTAGACAGCTGGACCAACACGCGCATCTTAACACAATCACCCTCTTCCCCACCTCAACCAGACCTGAACTGATGGACTAACTCGGGAGTCAGGACAGACTCATGCCACACCATAGCTATGCCCCACACCTTCCAGACCTCCCCCCTTACACACTCCCACCCATACCTATCTTTCCCCTCCTCTTCCCTCTCTCTTTCCCCGGGCGAGGCCGGGGACCGCCAGGCGCAACAGGGCCACGATATATTTGAGCCCGAGAAGGCACCACGACTTCCCTAAGGGACGTGGGCCCAACGAGACATCGCTCAATTGACTCAGAGGGGTCCCATGACGTGGGAACTCCCACAATAAACCGCAAACACAAGCCAACTCTGGATGACTGATACAACTGAGCACTGAGACATCACACCATCCCCATCCGAAGGGGGAAACACTTCAGACACACCATAGATACCACACGTGGACAGCGACTGAAGCATGATAACGATGACCGACCACAAGTAAGCAATGCGACAGAGACGGCTGGCCTGGGTGCCTCCCCCCCCCCCTCGCGGCGGGGGAGGGGACGCAGACCCGGGGAGAGGGGGTAGCTGACCCAGGAGAGAACCCACAACATATCTAGGCACCACCAAAGTTAAGGAAAAGACAACAGGAAAGGGAGCCCCAGGCCAGGTGCACGACTATAGGACCTGATCCCGCAAACCGACCCCTTTCTCACTCCCCATGTACGAGGACGTGACCTGGGACCTACCGCACCACTCACCATTGGATTGAGGTTCAGCTATAGAATTATACGGCCCTCACTGATGTGGGCCAGCGGTCATCCGCTTCCGATAACGTTTTATAAAGGTTCATCTAGAGTTGGCGGTACCTGTGTCAGACGCAATTGGAGACCTGCGAGTCTCACTGACGATATAAGCTCTGCTATCTGTTATTGTTTGAACTGCTAATAAAAGCTTTATTTACAAAAAAAAAAAAAATTAATGGTAAGTTTATTAAAGGATAATTAAAATTACTATGTTAAAAATAACAATTACCAAAAATAATAAAAACAAAATAAGGTATTACTAATAGTCTGTATAGTAGTCCACTTGTTGCCAAGATGCGTTTCGCCGTATAAATCGGCTTCCTCAGAAACCCATTGGTACTGTATTTGCTGGACTTTGCTGAGGTCTTTGTTGAGGGCTGGCAACATGTGGCAAACAATTTGCTCAATTTGAGGCAAAAACAGCAAATTGATACATCACATCCACTCCTTTTTCTTAATTTTATATCAAAGTTAAAGTAATGCTGCAATAACTGAAATCAGGGCCTGACTGTGGGTGCAAAGCAGCCCTGGGAAAAAAAATCTATGCCAGCCCCATAAATCATTGCGCCATGTATTGTCACATGTATGTAAGGCTATCTCTTGCCACCCCAGAGTAATATATAAACACACACATATGTGTTAAGGCTTTGCCTGGAGTTGTGGGAGGTGCTTGTGTGACCTACAAAGGGACTCCCCCTTTCCTAACCTACCATCAATGGTCTGACGATCTGCATTCTACTGCTTCCAGTGCATGCAGACCGCCATCTCGCTACTTACTTGTCCGGGGAACGCTTCTGTATCCTGCTTTCCATGTCCAGAATCGATTCAGCATTGCTGGTTCATCCCATCGGGATTCCACTTCAGCACAGGTCCAGTCACTGCAGTCAGCCCCTCCTCTGTTTCTCCCATACAGCCCACTGACCCGGAAGCTCCTGCTGACCTCCGTCCCTCCGACTGGCGGTTGCACCCGCGCCCTCCTTTGGGCTTCATCATGGTTTGTAACTATTCTATTTGCATTAACATATACTTTGCATTCGTATATATTCTTTGTTGTTTGTTTGCTTTCATGGTTTTTAGCCATTCTAACACACTAACATTGTTCGACTCTTTCTATATGAACGTTTTTTTTTGGCTCAAACGCACGAATGCGGTTGCATGTTTTCAATCGGTTAAGCGGGCACGAATGCCTTATGGCAGTATAGGACTTTCGTGTTCTCAATTGTCATTTGTATACTTTCGTTCATTGTAGAACAAATCCCCGCAAAGTTGAATCTGTCCGTATTCACTCAGTTCGCACTTTTATTCTCACGAGCGCTTGCCTTAGAACTCTTTTTCATGATACTAAATCCTTTAGTTCGTCCGTACATCTTAGATGGATCTTTGGCTTGTGGCCCTCTAGGGTTAATTTCTAGGTACTATATCTGTCATCGTACAGCATAGACAGATTATGGCTTGGGGCCCTCTAACGTTTAAACTTTAGTATTACATCTGTTATAAATATGGTCTTACTGTTTAAATGTATAAATGTTAAAACTCTCATTTTTGGTACTAATTATTACATTTGCAGGTATCTATTATACGGATATTTTGATTGTTTTAGGACTGCTGATTCTTATACATTATTTTAGATTTGTGTTAGTATTCTCTTCTTTATGTTTTATATTATTGTGCTGTCCTTTGTATATGTTATGCAAGGATCAACTGTTCAACTGCTCTGTTATGCAAGGTTATTCATTTTAAAGCAGCATGGGTGTAAGGATTTACCTAAATATGATTTTATGGTTGAAAGCCATGGGCCTGTGCATGGGGGGGTACTTTTGTACACATGAGGTCTTGCTAACATCCATTTTCTTATGTCTTATCAATCATATTCTATTACAGGTTATCAATTTGATATGTAGCGGTGTATGTTTCGGAGACCCTTAGCTCACCATGCATCGCTCTAATGCTCAATAACTATTACCACCGTATGTATCATTTTAAACAAATGGTTACTTTAGGTTATGGACATGCGATCTGTCTCATGTTTTTATAAGTATATTTTCACCGATAATATTTATGAGTATTTTGTCATTAAACTTTAGGTTTGTTTGTGACTAATATTTTACTCTCTGTTATCAGATCATCAGATTACATTTTTTTCCATAGGTATGTCATTTACTGGTTCTAAAGTCCATACTATACAGAAACCTACCCAAGTTCTTATACGAATTCAGTTAAGTTTTTAGCCACGATGGCTCCCCCTTGCAATATAGTCCTTTTAAAGTTAGTAGGTTGACTAGCTTATAGGGATCTAGTTGACCAATAGATGTTAAGTTTCTGGCATCTCTGCCTTAGAGTTAGTGGTACTGCGAGGCAAACACCCATGCTCCACACGTGAGGTATTATGTCCCACGGGCCAAAACATAGTTAGCTGCCTCGCACAGTTGCATAGAGAAGGCCTCACTTGTCACACCCAATCTATCTTATGCTTTAAATATCCCAGAGAGGCCGACATCCCACCACGACGTGCAGTGGCCACGAATTCCCTCGCGCCAACTCATAGATAGAGCCTCTCAAGCCACTTGGAAACTAGCAGGGCCTTCACGCGGCACCAACCTAGTGAATGGTTTCGCCACTTGGCACTAGCTAGCCAGCCGCTTAAATGATCCTGATACAAGTTAATTATAACTATGTGTCAGTATGTCTCAGATCTCTGACGTAGGTGATGACGTGTAAATCCCCTGTACTCTAGTCAGGTCCACTACACCTACACGATAGGTGATGCCAATAGTCTGGCTTCTTTCTGGATATTGCCCAATCCTAACATAACGGCTGAGCTACTTTCCTTTCCCAGCCAGGATAGCGGTACTGTTCAGGCTCATGTGCACGAATAAGGACAATGCTGATGCTGGAGTATGCACGAGTTGCTCGAGCAACACCGACCTCCACGCAAGGTCTCAGCACTCGTGTCCTCTATGAGTTGAATACATGAGAGACTGGGAAGACTAGAAACACATTGTCTAGCCAGACTTTCTTCAGCTTCCGGTATTAGGCCCCTTACTGGGACATATCGACTTCTATTATATGACTTGGCCCTCTCCATGGCTGAGCGTCGCAATTAACTGTAGTAAATACGTCAGGCTCCACTTAGGCCTACACTATATGGTTCAGTAATATAAATTAATGTGTATATACATTCACCGTACTTACATTAACACAGCCCTGATGGGACTCATTGGCTCACAAGGGTTTCCTTTGGTTTAGTTATACTGATTATGGGTTGTTGGTTTGCTTCTCGTACACTTGTTAGCTTGATTTGTCCTCCATTATGGTCCATGTATATACTTTTCATTGGATATTCTTGTTCATACTGATGCTCACTGACACACACATGATCCCAACAGAAAAGTTCACTGACACACACACATGCTTCCAACAGACAAGCTCACTGACACACAGACACACATGCTCACTACAGACAAGCTCACTGACACACACATACAAGATCACCCACTAGCAGCCACACACATACAAGCTCCCTCACTAGCAGGCATATACACACAAGCTCACTCACTAGCACACATACAGACACAAGCTCCCTCACTAGCAGGCACACCCACAAGCTCACTGACTAGCAGGCACACATGCAAGCTCACTCACCATCAGGCATACCCACACCCCCAAGGTCACTCACTATCAGGCATACCCACACCCACAAGCTCACTCACTAGCAGGCACAAACATAAGCTCCTTCACTAGCAGGCACAAACACACACAACCTATCTCACTAGCAGGCACACTAGCAGGCACACTAGCAGGCACACAAGCAGGCACACACGCTCTCTCACTAGCAGGCACACACACACACACACACACAAGTTCACTCATTAGCAGGCACACACACACAACCTCTCTCCCTAGCAGGCACACACACACACTGTCATGGCTGAAGCTTACCTGTCACTGGTAGGTAAAGGTTCCATTTTGTGGCCTCTTCCTTCCAGCAAGGTCAGCAATGTGTGTGTGGGGGAGTGGAGCTTGTTCTGGAGGCGGGGCTTGAGTGCATAGGTGGGACATGCATCCAAAATGGCTGTAAATTGTGCAGGGAGACAGACTAATTGTGGCCGCAACAGCCCCCAGCTCCTCCCTTTTTACTCCCTTCGGATTGACACAGTCTGAAAGGAAAAAACTTAAACTACATGTGCCTGATGATTAGGGCTGTCTGCCTGGTATCCCGGTGGGTCAGTCCAGTCCTGACTGGAATAAAATAACAATAAAACAATACAGTTACACAACATATTCAGTTATACTCTGTAAAGCAACAGCCTTCAAACCTGTCTACACTAGTGGAATGGGTGACAAAACTTCCCCTGCTTCCTTGCCATCCTATCCCTGTATGGAGGGACTATTTGTTAAATTAATTTCATACTAAGAACTCTGACCAGTTAAGTTACTTAAATGCATTCTGCGAGTTAAACATTGTTTAATTGTACGCTAGTTGTTCCAAATGTTAATTCCTGCTACAAAATGTGTGTTTTCTGTTAGAACAATCAGGCTTTGCTGAAAGGTGCAAAGGACCTGTTGATTTCCAGTATTACACAGATGACATGACATTCTTATTTGTGTCTATGTATGTCCAGTATATGTTTCATTAAATTATTATACGTGACCTGCATGTTGCGGAGTTCAGTGGTACCAACGCTAGCAAAAGTTCTTGCAAGGCAGATACACGAGCATCAAATTAACAAACCATTGAAGACTTAGTTAACACAATTCCACAAATGTCTTAATAAGCATTTTAACAACTAAAAAGAAAAATCTTCCATACATAGAAATTTTCATCCTTCCTTCCCTTTTTTTCAGATTCTATTCTTGTCATAAGCGTCAGAGCACTTGTTAATTTATGAGTGGTGAAAGGCATCTTCTTTCTTGGTACAATTGTTTCAAACATATCATATTTTGCTGTAAATCCATTAAAGGCAGTACACTGTATTTTATTCTTTTCATTTTGTGCACATAGACATCAAGTCACAAACACTGTAAAATATGGGTGCATCTTGGGACACAAAATTAGTAATGGTTCAGAAATAGAACATTTCAGTGAAGATTCAAATGTGCTAGACCTCAACAGTAATAGATAGCACTGAATTAAACCAATTAAAACAGCTTGGCTAGGTTCTACAATATCATACAATTGTGATTGTCATTTTCTTAGAGCCATTCAGCTCCAATGAAAATGTATTTAAGCCACATGTACCATTTTGACAAGGGGTAGAATAGTAATCAGTAGGAAAATTTACTCATGAACTGTTCTGACTTTAAAGGGACACTCCACTGCCCCAGGCTGAATAGCGTTTTCACAACTATGGTGTCAGGAATACATGTTTGTATTCCTGACACTATAGTGTTCCTTTAAGCAAATTAAAGTAACATTTTGGTCACCATAACAAATTCATATATATATATACATATATAAAATGACCAAAGTTAAAAAACTGCACTAAGTACAAAATATGCATGTGCTGCATCCCTACTTCTCCCATATCTACTCTTGCAGACCTCCCAATTTAGGGAAGTAGGTAGATTGGAAATATGGTAATATGGTGTGTGAGTTCAGGGGAGGGGGTGGGGGCATCGACACAACCTGCATTCCTGGCATTGCTCAAAGGAGTAGACCAACTCAGAAAGGGTGCAGGCTCATTTAAATAAGGGCCATATAGGGAGGCGGAGCTTAACCACGGAACGGAGCGGTCGCATGTTTAGCGAGCTCCGGCAAAAACGCGACTAAATACCAACAAATATACCTCTCACAGCCCTTATAATCCTACCAACCGACGGCCAGGGCAAGAGGGCAAAGCACTCGCCTGATCGATGCCCTTTTTATACCGCCAGACGGGACGGAAAGCACGCCGCACATCCAAGGCCTACCCAGACTACAGGGCCTTCAAAACGGCGCTCCACAACGCGGTCTTCCCCACTGCCATACCGCCCATGGAGCACACAGCCACCGACCCGACAAACATGGGACGAAAATCCCAGCGGATAGCAACAGGTGCGTGCAAAGATACACAGGACATTAGCACCATGCTCCAGCGCACCGCGGCCCCGAAAATGGCGGCCACACCTGACCCAGACACGAGCTCCACGTGCTCGGAGTTTGTCATGGGGGACACCCTAGAACATCACTCAGCCCAAGCTGACCCTGATGCACTGACACCTGCCACAAAATTAGATATTAAAAACCTCCTAATGGAGCTAAAACAAATGTCCGCGGCAGACATGGCTTTAATGAAAACGGAGGTCCAGGCGGTCACAGACCGAGTGAAGACCACTGAAGAGGACATCATAGATGTCCAAAACGAAATGAGAAGCCTAAAAGAAACAGTGCACCACCTAAAAGCCTCACACACAACCCTGATCAACAAGCTGGATGCAGCAGAAGAGAGAAGCCGTAAGAGCAACGTGAAAATCAGGGGTATCCCCGAAGAAATAAGTCAGGCGGAGCTGCCACACTACTTTAGACGCCTGGCCGCCACCATTTTGCCACACGCACAAGCCAAAAAATTAACTATAGCAGGGATATTTCGTATCCGGAAATCGCCACAGGCACCCCCCCAAGCAACCAAAGATGTGATCGTACGGTGCCATACCCAAACAGACAGAAATGCCATCTTCGCTGCCCTAAAAGGCAAAACACCATTGGACTTTGAAACCGCGAGTCTTACCTTTTATCAGGACCTGACACGATCCACACTTAAATGGAGAAGAACCCTACGCCCTATGACCCACCGCCTCCAAGACGCCAATTTGATATACCGCTGGACTGCACCAAAAACACTCTCGGTGGACCACAACGGCACCACTCTACACCTCAACTCCATTCAGGAGGTGGACTCTTTCCTTAGGGCACTGGGACTACCACAAGGATCTGACCACACAGAAGAGCCTGCCAGCTCCCATATGTGGGACCCCACCAGGACTGTCCCTTTTCTACCGAGGGGAAGAGGAACCCCAAGGGCAACCACCTGACACCACTGGCTGCCTCTCAACCCATAGGCGCACTTCACCAACGAAGCCTCTGCCGTTATAATTAGTTTTTCGTTATAATTTGTCTTTCGCTGGCTTTCGAATTAATTTTTCTTAATTGTTTAATGCTTTGCATCTAGGCACCACTGTAAGGCACACTATTCTTCCCAGGATTAAATAACCTACGTAATGGCAAAAATCCTGCACACCGCTGTAGCCACTACGAGTAGCACACTACACGGCAAAACACTCTCAGGTTAGGGACAACAACAGGCCGCTGGTATATTCCGTCCCCCCCCGCGGCCTCCCTGGTTAGGGGCCACTAACCGCTTGGTACCGCACAAGTACCACTTAAACACATGGGGCAACCCAGGGATGAAATTAAGTACGCCCACACCAAGCGAGCCAGAACCTGGGACCCCCAAACAGAGCCACACTAACAAGGAGTGGGGCAAAATTCTTTATCGCCATAGCAAATTTTTCGAATCACTAACACGGGACGAGGAATAGTTATTTAGAACCCTACACACACACTGGATGTACAGATTATACTATACTCATACAACTCCTTCCTCCAAACAGGAGACTATGGCGATCTAGCGATAATTCTAATTAGAATGTTGTAACGTAGGAACTTACTTTCCTAATTTAAAATTGTGCAAAGTATTTCAATGCCAAATGTTTATTCATGTTTTCTGTTTGAAGCCGTTGTGGCATCTCAAGCGACTATGTTAAGCAAATGCGCAACAAAAATAAAGAATTACAAAAAAAAAAATAAGGGCCATATAAGACTATAAGCATGAACGCGAGGCTTATTATAAATGATTAAACTAGGGCCCTTAGCATAACAGAAGAGCGACTAATGATTAACTTGTCCTATGCTTTCTGGGAACAGCTCCATGATGTCTGAAAAAGTGGTGCTCCAGGGACCAAAATCTGTATGGAGGGGCAGGTGCCCACCTGAATATGAATATTTACAGGAGTGGCCTCAAACAAATGCAAATATTGCGCATGAATCATTTGAATGCAGCAATCTTTACAGTTACACACTATATTTGTCTAATTTGATATTTTGGAGAAAACAAAAAGAGAACACAGAACGCTATATACAAATGTCAAAAGACAAATGTAGCGAGCTGTGTATACCTGGAAAGATACTGTAGTCTAGGAGAAATCTATTATATACATTATGTACAAAGGTCAAAAAATCCCTATATAAAGTAAATTAAAAAAGTACATAGAAAGAACATAAACCCTGGATGATATACATATATCAGTATTATAATCAAAAAGACTGCAGACAGCTACTGAGAGCTTTAATTAATCTGGCTCAATATGCTACTGCAGTATTAACACTATTATATCTATTATATCAGACAGGGAGCAAAAGAGTAAATTAAACTACCACCTCAATCTAGCCTCTAATGTGCAAATGCACATTAGTGTAGTACAATAATCCCAAACTATATAAGGTCTCAATGCTGATTGGGGCAGCGTATCCAGTAATCAATTAGATAAGCACATTATAGTATAGAATGCAGCCTCCTAAGAGAACCAGTAGAAAGGGTATAATAGTATAGATACACAAAAATAAGATGAGCCCATTTATAAAAGAGGATTGTAGGAGGTACAAAGCATAGATATCGTGAAGCTTAGAATGCTCATGGCATATCTATGGATAGAGTATAAATTACAGAGAAGTCCTCTGAGAGAAAGTGAAAAAGACAGATAGTAACAAGAACTGCATAAAAAACTAACAGTCTGAATGGTAAATTATCTCTCACTTCCTAAATGTAACTACTAGACCTCTACAGTGGTAGATGAATATAACATAGTATCTACTTCAAGTAAAAAAAGTAACATTGAAACAAATTAAGTGCCATGCTGTAAACAATGTGTTGTGTCCATAGAAAGTAAAAAACAAAACGCCTGACGCGTGTTTCGGTGCTATACAAGAGCACCTTCGTCAGAGGAAAACGAGCTAGTGCTCAAAGAGTTGCTTATATACCTTATTCGCCAGTATCTCGTTAATCTTTCCTCCAATCCCCGTCATGTAATTGCCAGGGGTGTGACCTGCGTTTCCCGCGCCAGATACATCTGTCTGGTGGGGCTAACCCGGTGACGTCATTTGAGTGGGACGGTCATAGGATAATGATTATATCAAACTCCGCCCACTCCTCTCAGTTGAAGGTATACAAACCAAGTACCAAAATTATATAATCCGTGTGCAGAGCCCATTTCAAAGAGATTTTTTAGGGCCAGACGGGATATTCTTGTTATTAATCAAATCCAATATATCACAATTGTGAAGAAGGAGAAAAAATACCACCATGACTATTAGATATAAAATAAAGTTATCTCTGTGTGTACCCCAGATATTTTAGTTTATATGGGGTCAGAATCCTATATGTCAATATGGTAAAAAGTAAGTATCCTGTATATAAGTAAATGATTACATGAGATAAAGCAATATTACAGGAATACACAAACACTCATCCTAACTATTTGATGACAAGGTTAGATACAGTTATAATTTTGGAAGCACGGGCAAGGAGTCTTGAAAGTAAAAGATTAATCAGCATTTCTCCTGTAATAAGGAACAAGGCATAGACATTATAATAGGTAAAGTAGCGAATTGCATTTGATATTGAGCAATCTCTTAAAGGGAAAAACCTCAATCAAAATACATATACAAAATAAAAATTACATAAGGACTACTAGAACTACTTATTTATAATATATACAGGTGTATCATGAAATACAAGAATAGAGTTGAAGAAATTAATGAATAGAGGAAACCCCAAAGGTTTCAAAAAAATATGAATATATATTAGTCAGAGATGAATGGTGTAAATGAAAAGCCCTCATTAAGACCCATGGGTGAGAGAGTTTTTAATTTATATATCCATAGACTTTCTCTTTGTAGTAGTTTTTTTTTATTGATTATAATACTGATATATGTATGTCATCCAGGGTTTATGCTCTTTCTATCTACTTTTTTAATTTACTTTATATAGGGATTTTTTTTACCATTGTATATAATGTATATAATAGATTTCTCCTAGACTACAGTATCTTTCCAGGTATACACAGCTCGCTACATTTGTCTTTTGACATTTGTATATAGCGTTATGTATTCTCTTTTTGTTTTCTCCACTTAGCGCTTCGGGGTTAAGCCCCTGGAGACTCCTGGAGTCTTCTCTTGGTAAAGCGGAGGGTTTTTTTTCTACTGGAACACCAACTTTGCTGGTTGATGTACAGCGGAGATTAACCATCCATATATACATTTTTAGTTTGATATTTTATTGAATAGATGATTAGTAAAGCAATGAAATATGTCTTTCATGGCATTATTTTAGATTGTCATTCATTTGATCTATTCAACCCGTTGAGTTGTTACATGGTTAGTTTAAAAGGCTAATTTGAAAAGTCTTCAGAAAATGCAAGCTCCATGTATACTGTATGTATTGTGAATTTATTATTTATATGACATTGTGAACTTGCTTTTTCCTATGCTACTACATTGCTTTTTACATCGTACTTCCTGTTTACCTCTGACCGAGACGTTGCTCTTAGTTCTCAATATAGTTCCTCTCATTAATGGCTTGCAGTGGCTCTGCTATCTTCTGGCTTTGGTAGACACAGTGATGGTATTGGCACTGATAGCAGATACACACTTTGGCAATGGGGGACACATTTCTAAAAGACGCACAGTGCTGGGATTGTGGAACACATGTTCATCAGACACACACACAATGCTAAAACTGAAAAATACTTTTCCAGAAGGCACACAATGTTGCTGTTGGATGGCACATTATTAGCAGACACACACAGTCCTGGGATCGTGGAACAGATGTTTATCAAACACACACACAGTATTAAGATTGAATAACACGTTTCAGGAAGGTACAAAATGTAGCTATTGGATTAGTGGCATACACACAACCCATGGGGCCCCGGTGCGACAACTGATCCATGGGCTCCCCCCCCTGCCCTATGTTTCACTGAGGGTTAATCCAGCCTCTAGTGGCTGTCTCATTGACAGCTGCTAGAGGAGCTTCCGCGATTCTCACTGTGAAAAGACGCTGAACGTCCATAGGAAAGCATTGAGTAATTCGGTTTGAATGTGCGTCCAGCTCTTGCCGCGCATGCGCATTCGGAGCTGAGAGGCAGA